CCTGTAACCTGTTTTTAACTTACAGAGCACAACCATGTAATGTGCAATGCAGTTAATGACAGCTGATAAACTACTGTAAGTCAACACACCCTGCAGACTCTCAAACCCAGTGTAACTTTAACTAAATAAAACTGTAAGGCCACATGATCAAAAATAACCCTGTAACCTCTTTCCAGCCAACAGCAATAATTAACCCGAGCCAGCGGGATGTAAATAATTACATTTATTGACCACCAAAAGTTTGGCAAGTAAACAAACACTTGTTCATCTTTCATAATTCATCTTTTTATAACGAACGACAGTCAGAGTTAAACTCTCGTAGGTCATAGCTAAAGCAAGCTAACGTTAGATGGTTAAAGCTGAGCTAAACATGTTCACTAACCTCAGGTTACTAACCTATTTTGCGTTCAACGCTTCTTTGTTTGGGTCTTGTTTATGTTTAAAGTTTATGATGAACGGCTCAGCAGCTGTTTGTTGTCCTCTCTCACGTGTAGCAGCTGATGCTACGTGTTACGTAGGCAGGTTATAGGTAACGCAGGGAGGGAATAACGGCACGCTCATCAGACGCTTCCTAAAAATAAACATTGTTCACGAGTCCCGCACCTCGAGTCTCAAGTCACTGTGTGTGCGACTTAAGTCGGACTCGAGTCCGAGTCTCTAACTCGAGTCCCCGTCTCTGTCACTGGCGCAGCAGTCTGTCATTCCCACATATCCAGTAAATACGACTTGTGATTGGATTGTACCTCAGCAGACAGCAAAGCATTAGCCGAGAGCAGAATGCCCCGCCTCCACGCTTTTTCCAGTTACGAGGCTGCGAAGCTCCTCTGAGTTTCAGCTGTGTGACAATTGCTGGCACAAGTCACGTGAGACGCAAGCTCGCAACTGTGTGGGCGTATCTCCGCAAAGTGGGTGTTGTAGATCAGCTCTGACAAAATAGTCTGCAATATGAGTGAAAATGAAATGCACTTTCGAACCTCAATTTTCAACCCGTTCTCCCTCCAGGCTCGTCACATATGGACGCATGGTCAAAACCCATCAGCCTCAGTTTGTAATGCACTGGGGATCCCTATTCATAGTTTTCAGTCACGTGACACTCGCAGTACCTGGAGAGCAAAACAACAGACCAACACAACGGCTCACGCCGCGACTCCCCCTTAGAAACGTCGCAAAAGCAAAAACATTTATTTATTTGGATCACCTCTCAACTTAAGAAAAAGAAAGATATGAACACAAACTGCAAGTGTCGGGCACTTCTGATCCATGTTACAGCATCCGGTGCCGCGTTTCTATCGTTAAAAAGCCCCAGGTCCCTGCTGCGGCTCGACTGCAGTAATGTTTAACCCTTTCACCTAACACAGCTCAGGCTTGTCTCTTCCATTTGTGCATCAGAAAGTACAACTACCATCCAGCATTTTGGCAACGCAAAAGTAAAAAACTCATAGTAACAGTGTGTGACTTGCTTCCAGGCAGTGGAAAATAACGTCTTTTTTGGCCTCCAAGGGAGCGTTTTTCATGGAATGTGACGTCACGTGAAAACTATGAATAGTGTCATATTCCAACGCAGTATGGGAAGTCAGTAGCGTCAGTGTTTGACAGTAAAGGCAGGTATAAGATATTTAACAGAAAAGACTGAGTAAGGAGGTGCATAGGGTGGACTTTGAACCCCTGTGAAACAAAAAGTCAACATTAAATTATTTTTTAAAGTTACGCAAGTTAACTTATGTGTTAACTGACCTACGTAGTTATTTCAACCATGATCTTTTCCTAACCTTAACTAAGTCGTTTTTGTGCCTAAACTTAACCACATCGCAACGTTTCACGACTTCAAAATGTCAGTTTCGAAAGGCTAGCATTTTATTTTGAAAGTCTAATCGGACATGGCTCATGTCTAAAAATTATGTTAAAGGGCCTTGACCAAGTGTCAGTATGTGATGAGTCGGGGGTGAGAATGTGTTGGAATGTTCAAATGAGTTTCAAAACCAGTTTTCAGATCACCATTTAAAAGGTTTCACACCCGAATTCTGTATGTATGAATCCACAGGGAGAACAGGGACAAATTTGAAACTGTGAAAAATTGTTTTTGCAACATCGTAAAAAAAGAGTGTTGCCGTTCTGAAGAAAGAAAGTTTTCCATCTTGCAGCAGTCCATAGCTGGAACTAAACTGTACTGTCTTCTTTTAATATATTCTGAGTATATGAGGAGTGCCATCACATCCTGTGTTGTCTGGACTGGTCCCACTAATGCTGCTGCTGCAAATGCAGGCGCGTATGACCGCACGTTCACGCGCCACACAGTTTCTAAACAAATAGCCTGGTTGGGTTTCACTCTAACATTGTTCAGTCCCAAAGTCTGAAAACAGGGAGTAGCGTCTATTTAGTTCCAGGGTCTTCATTTTACCCACCAAGAAGTCTACTCGCTTTCTATCGAGCATGTTGGCTGTTTTTCTACCTCTGCTCGTCTCTTTTCGTTGTTTACAAACTCATAACTCTCACTCTGCAGCACACACAAGTCTTACAGCTCGGAGAACACAGGTTCAGCTGCCTGCTGCTCCTGAAAGTCGCTCTGATTGACTTTCTGTGTGTCGAAGTTTAAACAGGGCTGCTTTTTCACTTTAACTTTCTCCTGGTGCCTCAATGTTTCCATTTCCTGCCCGCATTTCAGGAATGCATCAAAAATCACACACACAGGAATCACAGGAATGTTGGGCTTCTGTAAATATCATCACAGAGTACGGTCTAGACCTGCTCTTTATGAAAAGCACTGTGAGATAACTGTTGTTGTGATTTGGTGCTATATAAATAACATTGAATTAAATTGAACAGGAATCGCCCCCTTTTCCAGTTTTACTTTCACTATCTGAAGCTGTGTTTTAAAGACTCTTCGGCCTCTCTGGGACAATCTAGTCGGACTGGTTTTCCATCTGGACCTGGTCTAATGTGGTTTCCATGTACAGAAAGTTTCAGACAGGGTTCAGGTTTTGTCTCTTCTCACAGCAGTCAGAAGTTCACCTCCCTCTAACTTTCCTCTTCACCGCAGAACCTGAAGCTGACTGTGGTGATCAGAGTCCTACCTGAGCTCCAGAGCAGCAGCGACAGCGCCAACAGGTGATCCATGTCCAGGTAGCTCCACAGTCGCGCTGCCACTGCAGTCAAGCCAGCCTCCTGGAAAACGACAGTCATCCCTCGCGCTGTTTTCCGATGCGTTTTTTTCTAGGCATTACGTTATTCTCGAAGCACATTTCAAAATAAAAGGCAGCTTCTGCTGAACATAATGCAATTGGTGCCTGAATGAATAAATAAATGCTTAAGACAACACAAGTATACAGTGGGTACGGAAAGTATTCAGACCCCTTTAAATTTTTCACTCTTTGTTTCATTGCAGCCATTTTCCAAAAATCAAAAAAGTTCATTTTATTTCTCAGTAATGTACACTCAGCACCCCATCTTGACAGAAAAAAACAGAAATGTAGAAATTTTTGCAAATTTATTAAAAAAGAAAAACTGAAATATCACATGGTCATAAGTATTCAGACCCTTTGCCGTGACACTCATATTTAACTCAGGTGCTTCCTATTTCTTCTGATCATCCTTGAGATGGTTCTACACCTTCATTTGAGTCCAGCTGTGTTTGATTATACTGATTGGACTTGATTAGGAAAGCCACACACCTGTCTATATAAGACCTTACAGCTCACAGTGCATGTCAGAGCAAATGAGAATCATGAGGTCAAAGGAACTGCCTGAAGAGCTCAGAGACAGAATTGTGGCAAGGCACAGATCTGGCCAAGGTTACAAAAAAATTTCTGCTGCACTTAAGGTTCCTAAGAGCACAGTGGCCTCCATAATCCTCAAATGGAAGACGTTTGGGACGACCAGAACCCTTCCTAGAGCTGGCCGTCCGGCCAAACTGAGCTATCGGGGGAGAAGAGCCTTGGTGAGAGAGGTAAAGAAGAACCCTAAGGTCACTGTGGCTGAGCTCCAGAGATGCAGTCGGGAGATGGGAGAAAGTTGTAGTAAGTCAACCATCACTGCAGCAATCCACCAGTCGGGGCTTTATGGCAGAGTGGCCCGACGGAAGCCTCTCCTCAGTGCAAGACACATGAAAGCCCGCATGGAGTTTGCTAAAAAACACCTGAAGGACTCCAAGATGGTGATAAATAAGATCCTCTGGTCTGATGAGACCAAGATAGAACTTTTTGGCCTTAATTCTAAGCGGTATGTGTGGAGAAAACCAGGCACTGCTCATCACCTGTCCAATACAGTCTCAACAGTGAAGCATGGTGGTGGCAGCATCATGCTGTGGGGGTGTTTTTCAGCTGCAGGGACAGGACGACTGGTTGCAATCGAGGGAAAGATGAATGCGGCCAAGTACAGGGATATCCTGGACGAAAACCTTTTCCAGAGTGCTCTGGACCTCAGACTGGGCCGAAGGTTTACCTTCCAACAAGACAATGACCCTAAGCGCACCGCTAAAATAACGAAGGAGTGGCTTCACAACAACTCCGTGGCTGTTCTTGAATGGCCCAGCCAGAGCCCTGACTTAAACCCAATTGAGCATCTCTGGAGAGACCTGAAAATGGCTGTCCACCAACGTTTACCATCCAACCTGACAGAACTGGAGAGGATCTGCAAGGAGGAATGGCAGAGGATACCCAAATCCAGATGTGAAAAACTTGTTGCATCTTTCCCAAAACGACTCATGGCTGTATTAGATCAAAAGGGTGCTTCTACTAAATACTGAGCAAAGGGTCTGAATACTTATGACCATGTGATATTTCAGTTTTTCTTTTTTAATAAATTTGCAAAAATTTCTACATTTCTGTTTTTTTCTGTCAAGACGGGGTGCTGAGTGTACATTACTGAGAAATAAAATGAACTTTTTTGATTTTTGGAAAATGGCTGCAATGAAACAAAGAGTGAAAAATTTAAAGGGGTCTGAATACTTTCCGTACCCACTGTATAAAGAAAGTATTACATTTTCACAGAAAGCTTCCTAAATTTAGATTCAAACTGATGTTAAAAGAAAACCACTGACTCATTTCACTCCACAGTGACAGCAGACCACCTCAGGGAGACACTCTGTCAATATCAGAGCTGTCTGATGTAGTTTTGTTTTTAAGGTACAGCCCTTGAAAGTGTCCTCTTCGAGTGACCACCAGAGAATAACAGTCAGCCAATATCAAAGCAGTCTCATGTCCATTTTCTAAATGTATACACACATAAACACACAGACACTGCACATTATTTTCCAGATATAAACACACTTACATGTATGTGTACAGACAAAATATTAAACATCTTTCTAAAATAAAAATATGTGATTGTTCAGAATGTGCATATGTGTGTATCTTGGATCATTTCTTTATTCCAGTTACTTCCTTGTCCATACAAGCTATATTGGTGGGATGTGATCAGGCACACAGAGCAATTCCACTTTGATTTTCTCGCTTTCTTCAGGTCTCTGGTGACCATAGCAGGGCACTGCTCATGGAACCACCTTTCACACATTTCACATTGGATCTACAAAGGACAAGGTTAAAATTTCAAAGATGAATGTCAGGGTACTCTCACAACACAAGACCTTTTTCAACAAATGAAGAAAACAACATAGTCCCAGTCTCTGTTTACTGTTACACACACACACACACACACACACATACACACACACATATATATAAAGCTGTGAGTTTAAGAGTTTAAGTAAAATGACACGCTGGCTTTACCCAACTTTCATCCTAAAATAGTGTGAAACAAAACAGAAATTCATATTAAATACTCACCCAGTTTGTCATCGGAGGCCCTGATCCAGGAGGCTTTGCCACTGAACACATGGCAGAGTTATTGGCGATATGAAACACTAATATATGTACAATGAGAAATAAAACACCAAAATCAGTTATATAGTAATAGTGGTGTGCAAACTTACACCTTAAGTTCATGTTCTGCAATAGCTAACCAACTACCTTACAATATTTTCTGAAAGTAAAAAGTAAGTCCGAACACACCATTACTTCATTTTAATTATTTACTAATAATCTACAAAATTATGTATTTCTGTTGTCAATGTTGTCAAAGATTTAAAGCTTCACTCATATTCTGATAAAAATGTCAGAAACAATTATTATTTTTTGGATAAGTTACGACTCATTAATAAAATGTATTACATGCTACTGTAGATATTTTTTTACTTACTGTATATCATTAAGAACATTGCTGCTTCACATTTTACAGGTACAATGAACGAGCTAGCCTAAGAGAAGCTTTCTTAGAACCAATTGTTCATTAAATTGTACTGACCATAACAGAAAGAGACATTACATTGGTATACATGTTAAACAGATTTGGTATGTTGACCACTGGCAGCCCGGATGAGATTGCTTTGGTATAAACCTTCTCTCTGAATTTATAAATTGTTTCCACTTTTATCGTCCCCCGGACATCTTCATTAGCTTAGCTCATACAAAAACCTTAATCTGAATGTTGATCTTCAAAGAACTTTTTGTGAGGGCTGTGAACTGACTGCTGCACAGGGTTATTATCCGGCAAACATATTCCTCTGAAGGTTAGTAGCTCGAAATGGAAATAAAATGTTCTCCCACAGTTACACCTGAGATCTGTCTGGCAACTTGTATGTTTCGGTCGAGTCCTAAAAAATCTGATTTACATTACCATTTATCAACAACAGAGACCAACACTGTCCTTATGAACCTGATGCTTTCAGCATCTGCAGAGCCATTGCTTTTCTCTCATTGGCCATTTCCTTCCTTGATGTCCCAAAGCTGATAACTGGAACATCTGGACAAACACAAATTTTCCACATCAATATTCAAACATCATAAACGTCAAATCTTTGCATAATGTATCTTTTGTAACGCAGATCTATATTAACCAAAGCAACTCTGAACTATCGATTAATTTATAAATGTACTTGTATCTTCTTGTATGTAGAAAAACATTATTACACTGGCAAAATGAGATTAAAATATGTAGGGATGCAAATTAAAAGCACCGTGAGCTAATTCACTTGAGAACAACATCACATTTTTTGTTCAATTACATTTAAAAGCACCTACCATGATGACAATGATGCCACAGCTATTTCCATCCTGTTGATCTGGGTGGGTGAAAACTCCTCCTTTCCATTTATTGTCCACCCATTCAGTTTTGCCAAGCCGTGTTCGTCTCATATTTACATAGCCCCTGTCTGTTATGTATGATGAAACAGATTAACACTTTTGATGTCATCCACTCGCTGCTGTTATAGATGTTATAGCCTAGTTATATTCTAAACACAGCTTGAATTTAAATGCAGCATACAATTTACAAAAAAAGTGTTTACTTCATACAAGTGGATCCATACCTGTCAATATCCCGTTTTGGCCAGGAAAGTCCCGTATTTTACCCTTCTATCCCGCCATCCTCCTGTCTTAGTATTTTCCCTTAAATCTCCCGTATTTTAACCTGCGTTATTAAAAAAATACACCCCAATCTGATCTCTCTGACTGGCCTCGCGATAACTGCCACCTGCAGGTACTGTCGGTGGAAAAGAAAAACTTTAAAAGGAAAGCAATATGAAATTAAAAGAATGTGTGGAATGAAAATAAAATGTAAATGTAAAGACAAGCAATGCTAAGTGAACAGAAAATATGCAAATAAGCATTTAAATAAATGCTCTTCATATATACCCTTTTGTAAGGGATACTGGAGCTTGGTTGGGGTGGTGGGACTGCTCGCGGTTGGCGCCGGAAAATTTCCCTTATTTTCAAATCCAAAACTTGACAGATATGAGTGGATCGCTGTCAGATAATGGATCCGTGAGATGCAGAATCAACACAGGACACCGTCAGACTCTCCTTCACTGACTGCGCTGAGCAAGTAAATGCTCCATACTTGTATAGCGCCTTTCTAGTCTTTTTGACCACTACACTACATCTACATTCACCATTGATACACTGAGCCTAAGTGCTAACAGAACTGGCGGAACAGCCGCCAGGGGCAATTCAGGACACTTCGACATGCAGCCTGGGGGAGCCGGGATTAAACCTCGACCTTCCGATTAATGGCCAACCCGCTCTACCTCCTAAGCCACATAGCTGTAGTGGAAAAGGCGTTGTCAATAGCAACACAGAATGTTTATCTAAACGCGCGACATGAACAGCGCTAATGTATTCTCTACAGGGGTATACGTTGATGTCATTTCCCCTTCTGGAACACACTGGACTGGCAAAACATTTGTTACCATGGCTGCGTTTAGCAAACTGGGAGTAAAGCAGGTGATTATTTGCTCAAATTAAAGGCAGTCGGACTCGACAGTGATCCTAACTGCTTCCCACAGCACCAGCGGTCCGGCTCTTTCCCATTTTAGATGTGTTGTTTTTGTTTTAGCTGCTTGTCTTTCTGCCACTCAGTGAGCGTAACTGCGTTCTGTGACATCACGTGCATACCCTCTATAGGGGTAAATTTGACCCACTGGCACTTGTAGGTATAAATGTTCATTTTTTGAATCTGGCTTTATCTTGACATTTTTTAACAATAGGGGGCGCTACATAACACACTTTTAGGGAAAGAGACTGGGGGACTTGAATATTATATTGAAACAAAGATACAAACAATCAAAAAACAGCCGCGGGTAAATTTTAATTTTTCTAGTTTAATGAATGCATGAAGTGGGAATTTATATAGAGAAAAGCAGAATTGAATTTTATTTGTCAATATGTGAAAAATGTGAACAGCGGCATCTTAATTTGATGACTGATGGCCTTGCCGTTGTCTTAACAGGATGTACTCTGTGTTTGCACGATCACCAATGAAAACATTTCTATGTAGGGCCTACATGTCTCCACATAATAACCTACTTCCACACCATGCACATAAACAGTGTGCAGGTGGAATCCTGACATGCTTGGCCTACACTCTGTCACTATTGTGACAAAAAAACTGTCCCTGTCAGTGTTACAAAGTGGTTGTGAAAAAAATAATAACAAAATACTCACATTAAAGTATACACAAGGGTACTCCTTTTGTTGTTGTACCATTAGAAGTAACAAAAAAAACTTGAGAACATTAGTGTTGTGCAATGGATATATGTGGTGCCCTCATCATGAGCAGGGCAGAAAATAACATTTGGAATCATCTTCCTCTGTGGAACTTTATGCGGGATCCACCATGTACACTGTGTGGTTGACGGCATTTATGTACTGTAAATTATACAAAATTAATTAGATTAAAAAAATATTAATTACATCTTTGAAATAACAACAGACATTATAGATACAGTAAGACTTCCTGTGTACATTGTTGACATTTGCAACTGAAACAAAGGCCTGCTAATTGTCGAAGTTGAGCTGAATGAAAATAAATATTTTTAAGGGCAGTGTGTGCCATATTTACATATGTTTAAAGTCTTTCAAATAATCTCAAAAGCTGAAAACCCTGATTACCTTTGACAAACTGTGCCGGCAAGCTGCTCGTGTTCACCAAACTGCTGTGTAGATGTTGAGAATGTAGATTGCATTCCACACCTCCAGCTGATTTGCCTCAAGTTGAAGCAGGCCTTCGAGTATCTAATGTCATGTTTTTGTGTCTTCTTTTTAAAGTTTATATAATTACACAATTTAGTTATACATGTACATAAAGGACATTGAGGGTTGGGCCTGTATTGCCAAATGTATTTGTGTATTTAGTTACTGAATTCATTTACTCTAAAAATAAACTCTACATAGAAATTTATGGTTTACTGCTGTCTGCTTTAAAGATATGTGTTATTCTCTGAACTTGTATTATAATCATTAGATGATCAAATACTATCTTTAACATTTTCTTTCTTGCTGGTATTACAGCTTTTACATTTAATAGAATATAATGTAAAAAATACCTCGCCTGTTTACCACCGGTGTGGCCGAAGACTTCGCAGCTCACTGTGGTGGATAATATCTGAATGTCCTCTGGTCTGGGAGGAGAGCACAGATACCAAAATCTCTGTGTCTTTTTTTTTTTCCACAAGGAGGCGAGCTTTAGGTCCAAATTGTTAACACAACACATACTGTCAAACAACAAATTAAATGTTCTGTGAATTAATTTACTTTACATTTCCTCATTTGGCAGATGCTTTTATCCAGCGACTTACATTTGAGGAACAACATAGAAGCATCAACAGAGCATCAACTACAGATCTACAACTGACAATACATACTAGTAAGAGCTCATAGTTCATATCACATCAATGGGGTAGATACCGAGGGAAGGAAGTAAGAGTTAACAAAAAGTGCAATCAAAACAAAAAGTGCAATCAATACAAGATCATTGTAGGGGATAGAAGAAGAAGAGCACAGGAAGTGCATGTTAGAGGTTAGGAGTTAGAGGTGTTATAAGAGGAAGTGTTCTCGGAAGAGATGAGTTATCAAGAGCTTCTTGAAGTTAGAGAGGGACGCCCCTGCTCTGATGGTGTGTGGTAGCTCGTTCCACCATCGTGGTGTCACAGATGAGAATAGCCGGGACTGGGATCGCTTTGTGTGAAGGGATGGCAGAGCCAGGCGGCGTTCGTTGGAGGAGCGTAGCGGCTGAGAAGGAACGTAAGTTTGTATTATGGAGTTTAGGTAGATGGTGCAGACCCAGCAGTCACTCTGTATGCAGCATTAGTGACTTGAATTTGATTCTGGAGGCCACGGGGAGCCAGTGGAGGTCACTGAGTAATGGAGGGACATGAGTCCTTTTGGGCTGATCAAAAACCAGACGCGCTGCGTTCTGAACCATTTGTAAGGGTTTCACCGCACAAGCTGGAAGACCTGCCAGGAGGGCAGAGAGATAACCACGGCCTGTACCAGAAGCTGGGTGGCGTACTGAGTGAGGTAGGGCCTGATTTTCCTTATGCTGTATAGAGCAAAACGGCTTGACAGAGAGACAGCAGCAACATGGTCTGAAAAGGACAGCTGGTTATTAATCATGACACCCAAGTTTCTCACCACCCTGGTTGGAGTGATGGTTGCGGAGTCAATTTGTAGTTTGATGTTATGGTGGATAGATTGCTTGGCTGGAATGACCAAGAGTTCAGTCTTAGAGAGGTTTAGTTGAAGGTGGCAAGCCTTCATCCATGCAGCTATGTCCGATAGGCAGTCCGTGATCCGCGCCGAGACAGTGGGATCGCCTGGCGGGAAGGATAGGTAGAGTTGCGTGTCGTCTGCGTTGCAGGGGTAAGAGAAGCCGTGCGAGCGAATTATCGGCCCCAGTGAGGTGGTGTAACTTGAGAAGAGAAGGGGCCCAAGCACTGAGCCTTGGGGCACCCCTGTGGAGAGGCAGTGGGAGTGGGATAATTGTCCTTGCCACAAAACATTGTAGGAACGCCCTGAGAGGTAGGATTTGAACAACAGGAGTGCTTTACTCGAGATGCCCGTTGCTGAGAGAGCGGATAGGAGGATCCTGTGGTTGACTGTTGACTGTGTCAAAAGCAGCTGATAGGTCAAGCAGAATAAGAACCGAGGTTTGGGCTGCAGCTTTAGCTGACCTTAGGGCTTCTGTTACAGACAGAAGAGCCGTTTCAGTAGAGTGGGCACTTTTAAAACCAGACTGATATGGATCTAGGAGGTCATTCCCTGAGAGGGATTCTGAGACCTGTTTGAAGACTGCCCGTTCAATAGTTTTGGATAAAAAAGGTAGAAGAGACACTGGTCGATAGTTCTCAACTTGAGTTGGGTCAAGTGAGGGCTTTTTGAGCAAGGGTGTAACCCAGGCCCTTTTGAAAGTGGTCGGGAAGGTTCCTGAAGCCAGAGAAGTATTTATCACATGAGTGATTGTCGGGACCACAGTAGGAGATATGGCTTGGAGGAAATTCATAGGAATCGGGTCCAGTGGGCATGTAGTTGGACGGCTACGGGTCAAGAGTTCTGATACTTCGCTCTCTGTGAGAGGAGTAAACGAGGAGAGTGAAGAACCACTGACCTGGGAGGGCAGAGGAAAAGATGTAGTAGGACTGCTACAATGGTTGAGTTTGAGTGTTTCAGAGAATTGGCAAGTTATAGCCTCCAATTTGCCTGTGAAGAAGGCAGCAAAGGTATCAGCAGACAAGTTTGTGGGTGGTGGATTCTGTAGCGCTTTAAAAGTGAGTCAGTGGCACTGCTTATTCTGTCATTATAGAACGCAGTTTTGGCAGCACCGATGCTTGTTGAGAAGGAGGATAGGAGCAGTTGGTAGCCCTTAACGTCGGCGGGGTCTTTGGTTTTTCGCCATTTTCTTTCAGCCGCTCTGAGATCAGTACGGAGCCCACAGATGGTATCAGTTAGCCACGGGTGGTGCTGGTTTGGGCAAGCAGGCTTGGTGGATAGAGGACACAGGCTATCCAGGCACGAGCTTAATGTAGAGCACAGAGATTGTGTGGCATCAGATTTCTTTCTTGTGCCTTTTTTGAAATAATTATGTTACTCCCTGTGCAGGGGGGCTGCCAGGTATTTTGGGCCCTTTGACAAAAAAAATCAAACTGGACATTGTGCAGCTGTTGTCACCACTTTTCTAGGACCTCACTATCCCATCAAAACTTTACATAACTCTAATTAAAAGCTCGCAAGTATCTGACTTCTTGTATTTCAATATTAGTAGTAGCAATAGAGCCAGAGAAATCCCCACAGCCTCCCTGGCATGATGCTAACTGGCCTGTCATTCACACAGTGCTGCTCCCCTTCTTCACTGGGACAGGGAGGCTACAGTTCTGGGCAGACTGGGCTGCTGCTGACTCATCTGTCGTTAGTCTGCTAAAAGGGGCAGTCATAACAATGTTGCCTAGTAAACCAAACTCTGGTTTTCTGGTTCAGTCTGTAACCCAGTTTTTCCCCATGAAAAGTGGGCAGCCTTTAGTCTGTGAGTTATATTAACCTGTTGGCTTCGTGTCCACAGTAAAATAAGCTAGCTGCAGACTAGTGTTAGCCTATTCTTTGATCGTTTTTGCTATGGTCTCTCAGCACCGTTTCAAAGGGAATCTGAAAATGCCTGAAGTCAGGGCTGGAATGGCAACAGACTGGAAATTGTTATTTTCAACTGTGTTTAAAAAATACTGCCTGCCTCAGGTTCTTCTCTGCAGAGAAAACCATATCTTTTGATGGATTTGGAGGCAGATGTGGGCCCACTGCATGGATTTTTTTGCAAGGTAGGTTCCCAGCATTGGTGACAATAACAATTATCACCAGTTTGCAATGGTCCAAACTGTCTGATGTATTTGTTGCCTTCATTTTCTATTTGAGGCCCCCCAGCTTCACACAGGGCTCGTGCAAGACCACCATGCTGCTTAAGTTGGGCATTGGCAGCATTCACAATAGCAGCAACAGAAAAACTGGTGAGGTCTGCTCTCCAGACACATACTTCAATGTTTTTGTACAGGTGAATTTGAAAGTCGCCTCTCTTGATGCCTTTCTCAGATGGTTGCTCCACGTTCTCTGCGATGACCTCAGGTGCTTCAGCCTCTGGTTGTGATACACTGGAAGGATCCTCCTGCAGGGATGAACTTGGCTTCTCTGTCACTGAGGACTCAAGCTATTGACAGTGTGGTAACAAACATCACATGTCCTGTAAGCTTTCATGTGTTAATACATTTCTTAAAGTCACAGGTCTTTCCTATCTTTACTATACACAATTCTTTCTGAAAGTAATGAAGTAGTGCAACTTTAATGAGAGGATACAAATTGTCTTAGAATTACACTGAAGTAACAGATGTGGAAAAATATGCTTTGCGATTTAACGTTTACCAAGATGCTAAATGTTTAGTAATATATATTTGCTAATATTTAGGGAATATTTGCTATGTATGGGTTACAATTTTGGATTTATTTATGCACTTTAAAAACATTTATTGAAAGTTTTTTCTTTTTACATGTTTATTTACAGCATGACGTTGAAATGTATATTGTAATAGGCTGGAAATTAACTTATAAGAAGAAAACTGGTGCATTACCTTTACAATACCTTCTTGGTAGATCCTTTGAAGGCGAATGGCTTTTGGATGGGTCTTACATATCCTCCCATCTTTTTCTGCTGCCGTTCCTTCCATTTCTCCTGATCAACTCTGAATATCTGCATAAAGAAGTAGTAATGGAAGAAATCATTTAGAATAGAAATTCCTTTACAGACAGAGAAATGTTACATATCATCAAACATTAGTTTATTTGCTCAAATCAGCATTAATCGAATAGACTGCATATTTAATAACTGGAGCTTAGTGTGTCAAATATTATGTGCACTTTGCATTACATTATGTCAATATTTCACATTTGATGATTTCTTATCTTTCAGATTCTGCTCATCTCCTCTTCTCTCATGATGACAACATGGTGGAGAGTTCTATCCATCCATCGTCAGCCGCTTATCCTGCGTACTGGGTCGCGGGGGGCTGGAGCCAATCCCAGCTGGCATCGGGCGAAAGGCGAGGTACACCCTGGCCAGGTCGCCAGTCCATCGCAGGGCCACACAGAGACAAACAACCACTCAAACTCACACCCACACCTAAGGACAATTTCAGAGACACCAATTAACTTAGCTTGCATGTCTTTGGATGGTGGGTGACTTACAATTGCTATACATGTCAGGTCGCACGCCTCTGGAGCAACTAGGATTAAGTGTCTTGCTCAGGGACACAGTGGTGGAGAGTTAAGATTTGTCATTAATAGAACACTGATGTACTTAGTTAATGATTTATTATTCAATTTTGCAAAATTTCAACTTTGGTTTTGGATTTTTGAATGTACATTACATGACATTTATTCATTTAGCTGACGCTTTTATCCAAAGTGACTTACACTTGCTATAGATATCAGAGGTCGCACGCCTCTGGAGCAACTAGGGGTTGTGTGACTTTACACACTGTAAATAGCCTTTTGCAGATAAGCGTGCCCTCTACCTGACAAAATCTGTAACTGGCCAAATGAAGCACAGGTGCCGTGTGTACTCGGACTTCAAATTGACTCAAAATTTTTGAGATTACGTCCTCAAAAAGGAGAGTCAGATAAGTCCACAGATGCTGTAAAATATATATATATATACACATGCAATTACTCGTCACTTATAATGCAAATTGTCAATTAGTACATTACTTCTATGTTGTACACACCACAGCTTTGATAATATTACGTGAGTACAAAAAAAAAAAAACAACAAAAAAAAAAAAAAAAATATATATATATATATATATTTA